ATCGATGAGCAACCTTTAATTGATTGCGAATTCTTTTCAAAGAATTTATAGGCCTCTAAGATGAGAGTTTCTCATGATTTTCACATAAAAAAAAAATAAGAATATAATAAACAATTTGTGGAAAATCCCTAAACCATTACAAATATTTTGCGCAATTAGGGATGCATTCGCGTACCCTGATTATATTTTTTTTTTTAAAAAAAAATAAATTCGGATTATGCGTACGCGCAATTTCGAGCGAGTATTTAATAAAAGGATTTTTTTTTCAAAGGCGTTAAATCAATTTCATAAAAACCCAAGATGTGTGGTTCACTATTTAAGAAAAACAAATTTTTCTTGATTCGACATAAATTTCGAAAAAAAATGATTGCTTAATAAATATATTATCAAAAGTTATTGTGTACACGTACGCGTGACACAAGTCCGCATTTTTATAACACGAATATACGTACGCGTAATTCGATTCAAGGAAGGGTCCTTAATCACAATAAGTAAAAGCTGTAGAAAAATCAAGTAACAAAAATGTATTTAATAAAATCAAGATAATTAAGCCAATAATAAAAACTGTTAAGCGGTCGTGCTAGAACCACGGAATTCGGAAATGCCTAACACCTTCTTCCGGATTAACAGAATTCCTTACTCAGGATTTCTGGTTCGCAGAATAATAAACAGAGTCATATTCTCCTCGATTCAGGGATTAAAAGTGGTGACTTGGGACGCCTTAAAATTCCCAGGTGTCGACTCTGAAACAAATAAATAAATCCCGTTTCGATTGTTCTTCAATTGGAGAAAACTCCCCACGCGCCCCGCGGGCGCGGTAAAAAGGAGGTGCGACAAGTGTCTGCTTGTGTATTTGGCAGTTTCCGAAGTCGCAGTAAGTGCAGTCTTGGTCCGTGAAAATAAAGGTACGCAATCTCCAATTTATTATATCAACAAAACTTTAATCGATGCCGAGACAAGGTACCCTCACCTTGAAAAGCTAGCTCTGGCACTGGTTGTGGCTTCACTCAAGCTTAGACCATATTTTCAATGTCACCCCATAAAAGTGGTAACAACCTTCCCCCTAAGGGGTATCCTGCACAAACCCAAACTATCGGGTAGACTTGCCAAATGGGCCATAGAATTAAGCGAGCACGACATAACATACCAACCGCGAACCGCCGTTAAGTCGTAGGTGCTCGCCGACTTCGTTGCTGATTTCAGCGCGAAGATATTTCCCGAGGCAGAACAAGAAGCATTTCGCGCTTCCACATATACCGACCTCTGGGTCCTCTACACCGATGGCGCCTCTAATGCATCGGGACTAGGACTCGTCCTCGAGGTCCCTATAGGCAAAGTAATTTGCTAGTCCATACGATGCCCTGAGATGAGTAACAACGAGGCCGAGTATGAGGCTGTGACTGCAGGTTTGAAGTTAGCCCTCAAATACGGCGCCCGACGACTCATCCTCCACTATGACTCTCAACTCGTTGTGAATCAAGTCACCGGGACTTTCCAAATCAAAGAGCAGAGACTACAAAGATACCAGTCGGAAATCCACAAACTGCTGCCAGAGTTCGATGAATGCCGCCTCGACCAGATAACCAGGGCGCAAAATATTGAAGCAGATGGCCTCGCCAAACTAGCTGCGGCCACCAAGAATATCAACAAAGAAAACGTGGTCAACCTCCTTCACTCCGCAATAGACCACATCGAGGTACATTCTATAAACCTAACTTGGGACAGGTGTAACTGCTTCGTAGCCTATTTACAGGATGGAACGCTCCCGCTAGACAAAAAAGAAGCCAAAAAACTCTGGGTACAGGCAGCCCGATACAGCCTAATAAATCATGATCTCTACAAAGAACGTTCGGTGGCCCCTTAGCCAAATGTCTTGGACCACATCAAACAAGACGAGTATTGTAAGAAGTACACGAAGGGCATTGCGGCGCCCATACAGGAAATCCCGACCTCGTTCGATGCCTCATCTACGCCGGTTACTACTAGCCTACCATGAAAAAAGAAGCCGCAGACTATGTCCGAAGGTGCGAGAAGTGTCAAAAGTACGCCTCTATGATACATCAAGTAGGAGAATTCCTCCATTCTATCACTTCGCCATGGCCATTCATAAAATGGGGAATGGACATAGTCGGCCCCCTCCCAGTAGGGCGAGGTAAGGTACGCTTCCTTTTGGTTTTAACTGACTACTTCTCTAAATGGGTGGAAGCAGGTGCATACACTCAGATACGTGAGCAGGAGGTCATCGCCTTTATATGGAAAAATATTATATGCCGTTTTGGCATCCCCAAGGAAATCAGTTGCGACAATGGACCTCAATTCTTCGGAAAAAGAACGACTGAGTTTTTCGAAAAGTGGCACATCAAACGAATACTCTCCACGCCATATCACCCTGCTGCCAATGGCTAAGCCAAATCCTCCAATAAAGTAATACTGAACATATTGAAAAAGAAGCTTGAGGAAGCTAAAGGGCTATGGCCTGAACTACTACCTGAAGTATTATAGGCATACCGCACTACACCAAAATCCAGCACGGGAGAAGCGCCATACTCACTGGTCTATGGGACTGACGCGGTTATACCCATCGAGGATGGGGAGCCCAGCTTGAGATACTCTAACGAGAGTGGAACAGATAACGATGAAAGTAGGCTACAAGATGTGGATGAAGTTGAAAAACGAAGAGACATGGCCCACGTAAGAATGGTAGCCCAGAAGCAGCAAGTAGAAAGATACTACAACAAGAGAGCCAAGGTGCGATCACTCAAAGTTGGCGACTACATCCTCAAGGCCAAAACACAGGCGTCAAAGGACCCTAATGAAGGAAAATTGGAAACAAACTGGGACAGACCATATAAAATCATAGCAGTAGCAAACAAAGGAGTGTTCCACCTAGAAACAATGGAGGGAAAACTGCTCAAAAACAACTGGAACATCGCCCACCTCAAGTATTTCCACTTCTAAAAGGTGTCACCTAAGTCGTACTCTTTTTCCCTCACCCGGGTTTTGTCCCAATCGGGTTTTCCTGAGGAGGTTTTTAATGAGGCGGCAAAGGAGACGCCCTAAGGGTCAACACACTGTTCATTACCTCAACCCATCAATATGATCTTCGGATCGAAGTAATGAAGGGACTACATACAGATAATCAAATCACCATTGTATGAACAGAATTTAATCTCCATTGTATGAACAGAATCTAATCTCCATTGTATGAACGAAATCTAATCTCCATTGTATGAACGAAATCTAATCTCCATTTCACGAATAGATCAAATCTCCATAGCATGTGCAGAACCAGATCTCCATTAATCGACAGGTGACGTCTTCCTACGGGAACACGGTCAAATTTCCAAAAATATCAGTTCGACCTCATTCGAACCACGACGGGATCCTACTTCGACGACAGTTCGAAACAATATCCCAATGGCTAAGGCCATCTACGAAAATACCAGTTCGACCTCGTTCAAACCATGAAGGGATCCTACTTCGACGATAGTTCGAAGCAACATCTTATTGGCCAAGGCCATCGACGAAAATACCAGTTCGACCTCGTTCGATCCACGACGGGATCCTACTTCAACGATAGTTCGAAGCAACATCCCAATGGCCAAGGCCATCGACGAAAATACCAGTTTGACCTCATTCGAACCACGGCGGGATCCTACTTCAACGACAGTTCGAAGCAACATCCCAATGGCCAAGGCCATCGACGAAAATACCAGTTTGACCTCATTCGAACCACGGCGGGATCCTACTTCAACGACAGTTCGAAGCAACATCCCAATGGCCAAGGCCATCGACGAAAATACCAGTTTGACCTCATTCGAACCACGGCGGGATCCTACTTCAACGACAGTTCGAAGCAACATCCCAATGGCCAAGGCCATCGACGAAAATACCAGTTTGACCTCATTCGAACCACGGCGGGATCCTACTTCAACGACAGTTCGAAGCAACATCCCAATGGCCAAGGCCATCGACGAAAATACCAGTTCGACCTTGTTTGAACCACGATGGGATCCTACTTCGACAACAATTCGAAATAACATCCCAATGACCAAGGCCATCGACGAAAATACCAGTTCGACCTCGTTCGACCCACGACGAGATCCTATTTCGACGATAGTTCAAAGCAACATCCCAATAGCCAAGGCTATCGACGAAAATACCAGTTCGACCTCGTTTGAACCACGACGGGATCCTACTTCAACGACAGTTCGAAGCAACATCCCAATGGCCAAGGCCATCAACATAAATACTAGTTCGACCTCGTTCGAACCACGACGAGATCCTTCTTCGACGATAGTTTGAAGCAATATCCCAATGGCCAAGGCCATTGACGAAAATACCAATTCGACCTCGTTCGAACCACGGCGGGATCCTACTTCAAAGACAGTTCGAAGCAACATCCCAATGGCCAATGCCATCGATGAAAATACCAGTTTGACCTCATTCGAACCACGACAGGATTCTTCTTCGACGACAGTCGAAGCAACATCCCAATAGCCAAGGGAGTCAATATCATATGCAATAAATAAAAGAAAAAATGACAAACAAACAAACCGACGAAAGTAAAGTTTACATTGCAGCAAAATATCATTTACATTTGTCCCTACAAACAGGCCCAAGTACGGCCCGTGCCAAAAATTCCTAAACAAAAGTAAATACAAACCAAGGCTACACATCATCCCTAGTAGGGTAAGCGTCTTCATACCACGAATCTGAAGCAAGGTGATTCGCGTCATCGGAATTGATGCCTTCCCTATCAGAAGTGAGAGGGTCGTACCCGCATGACTCACAAGTTGCACGAGCTTCGGCATGCACAGCCTGAACCTCCGCCTCTGTAGCCCTGCCCACAGCGTGAAAAGCCTTATACACATCAAGTCGAGCCTCCACATGGACCCACAACTCGTACAAACGACGGGGCACGCCCGGATCAGCTGAGGCACGAGACGTAGAAGGCTGAGAGCGTCAACTTGCCTCCTCCGCCCTTAGCGAAGCCATTTGTCCCTGCAATGCGGTCAACTCCGCCTCTAACTCCTTAACATGCCCTTCGAGCCCTGCGACTTGACGACCAGAGGCTTCCCTTTCCCCAGTAAGTTCCGACCTGGAGAAACCGACTCAAAAATAGCTGCTGCCAGCTTATCGACGCTAACTTTCAGCTCGCCCTTGAGCCCGTCAATCTCCACTACCTTAGCATTCAACTCGGCGGTCAAGTCGGCCACCTTCAGCTGTAAGTCAGTATTCTCAGCCGTCACCCTGTTGCTTAATTCGAGCGCGTCCTCTTCCGCCTTAAGGGAGGCCTCCAGTTCACTATTACGGGCAACAGCCCTCACAAGATCCTCGCCCCTCTCCCTCAACTCCTCTATCCTATGCTCCAATTGGTCCTCCCGCTGCTTAAGCCCCTCGCGAAACACCTGGAACTTGGGATCCTAATGATAAATGTCAAACATCGCCCGATGCTTAGCACGATACTGCTGATACTTGGACGACATCTTCTTATAAAGGCCCGTCCTTTTTCTTTCATGACGCTCTCTCTCCACCTCTAGGACGAGGTTCTGGCAAAAGAGAAGGGCAGAACTTAGAAAAAAAAATGCAAAACGACGGTTGTCGCACCAACCTAACAACAAAAAGAGAAGGAAAGGAACCTACCTACAGGGCCATACCAGCGACCTTCTAAGATAACTCCACGTCGCTCATTGCTCCAAGCATCTCGCTTTCAGGAGCGGCACATAGAGGAGCGAGGGCCGACGCCACCTACTCGCTGTTTAACAACAAGTTGTAGTTCCCCAGGACTACCACATGACGGTCGGACCGTCCATCCTAACCTCCACATGGGTATGGCAACCCATAAATTCATTGACATCCTCCGGGTCAATATTCGAACCGGAGCCATCACCCTCGTTACGAGGTCCTCCAACATTAGACGATGTACCACACTCAACGGAGCACACCGAACTAGCTCTCGAGCTAATTCCCTCCACTTGGAGACCTCCCCGACAAAATGGCATCGGCCATAAATACGGGCACAGGGGTTGTCCAGGACTCCCTGCTGCCGTTGGCGTCCATAGTTACGCCCTTCCCCAGCTCCAGCCTCCTCCTTTTCCTCTCTAGCAGCTCGTCACCATTAGAAGATTCATCCAAAAGATGTGAGGCCGGTACCGACGAAGCCTCTTCCCTCGTGGCCACAGTTCGAGATGAATCTCCCAGTTGAATAGGTTGAGGACGACCCTCCCGAACAGACTGGCACAAGATAAATCGTGTGTCCGCAGTAGCGACGGCTTGTCTAAAGGCGGGAACTGGCGCCCTCCGTCTAGAAGCTCCCCGATCTGTCATCACAAAGGGTCGTACTATTAGGCGAGGTCGCATGGCCAATGAGGTAGTAAGTCAAATATTTATCTGAGGAAACCCTAAGGCCATAACGCTGAACGAAGGCAGGCCAAGTTCGAGTTTTCGCTGCATGAGGCAACATGCGGGATACCCAATCCTTGATACCCGTAATAGGGCGAGGTGGACGGCCCATAGTTACAAAATGGCAAGTAAGTAAAAGTTACAATAATTACAGAAGAGAGGGGAACATAACGAACGACGACATTTACGAGTTCCGTTCCATCACTCCGGAAATCTGGCGAAGTTAGAAACGACGTGTTTGATCTTGATAAAGAAATACTTGTGCCAAAACTTATGGCTCGCCCGGTCGTCCGTCCCGACCACCAGCCCTTTCGTACCACGAAGTCTCAAATGCACCATGGTACCCCTGAGGAAGCCAGGCGTAAATAGGTGCAAAAGATGATGGACAGAGACGTTACTCTCTTCCAACTCTACATACTTAGTTAATAGCAGAAGCACCTTAAGCGTGTACGGCGAAAGCTGTGCTGGGCAAACCTGGTAAAATCTACAGAATTCCTCCGCTAAAGGGAAGAGAGGAAGGGTGTAGCCGATCATGAAAGGATACTAGTAGAAAGCACAGTACCCAGGTCTGTGGACGTCAACGTAATCTTTTCCCGCCGGAATCATCTCTACATGGGCAGGAATATCATACTTTATAAGGAGGGCATCAAGATGAACCTGCTCCGTCTCAGAAAATACTAGGTTTGGAGTAGGAGGTGGATCTTTGAGGAAATCACTCCGGGCAAGGGATGCCTCGATAGTAGCTCCTCCACTGTAAGAGGGTTGTCACCCTCTTCTACCACCACTTCTCCACTGCCGGAAAGAGGCACTGTGGATGACGGGGTGGCTTCAGGAACCTCTTCGCTAGAATGACGAGACCCCGGCATAGTATCGTTTAAAGGAGTAGTAACACAAAGGGAGTAAAAAAGAAGAAACTTCCGGTGATAACAGAAATGGAAGCAGGATGATATAAGAACAAATGAAGAAGACTGAGAGGCTATCAAGAGAGAATGGCTAAATTTTTTCAAAAAATCAAACCCCTCATCTATTATAGGGTTGGGTGGTGCCATAACCGAGGCGGCAAGCCTCAAATCAGCGCAAGAATCAAAGCGCCAAGCCGTCAGTCCTTGCCTTGAAAATTCGCGTAATGATGACGCACGTAAAGCTGACATCACCCCCGGGTAGCGTGTACTCTTCGGTGCTTCGCAGAATATGATAGCCACCTCTCGTTGGCCACATCGTAACGTTCCAACGGGTCAAATTTCTCCCAAAGAAGGCATAAAGTCCGCTCATCGAGGACGCACCCGGTCGCAACCTCGACGAGCGGAGGGACTAACTGTATGAGTCTGAATTTGATCGACTACGACCTACAGTGAGCACGACAAACGACCGAGCACCCGCGAGTCGACGCCCAGAGGGATACGACCTTGTGGTAAAAGAAGAAACAATACGACCTCGGCAGTAGAGTAAGCCCATTAGGAGATATGGAGAATATTCCTTAAAAGATTCTTTGCATGTCGTTTCTACGATTGAAAGGAATTCCTCGGTATATAAGAGGGATGAGAGTCTTGTAA